GGGGGGGGGGGGGGGGGGGGGGGGGGGGGGGGGGAATGGGAGGTAAAATATTTTATTTTCCAGAAAACTTGCGTTAATCGTTTGGAGTTTTACACAGCTATTTTAGCGCAGTTTTGGCGTTTCATGTTTGCTCAATATCAAATGATAATTTTCTAAGCGGAATTGCAAACGCTACTCATAGAGTAAATTTCAACTACAGTGAGATGTGATGGAAATATTAAAGACTGAAACCCACAACATATACGAAGGAAATAATAATCTTTGACTGGGATTAAGACGTTTCGATTCATTGCGTCCTAAGACGAAATTCGATTCGTTAAGTTTGCATTCATTAAGTTTAACTCAGAGCCTCAACTGGACTCGCATTGGCTTTGACAATAAGCTATTATTATATACTTAAATATTTACTTGAGCAGCTAGCTGTATGTCATCGACGTTCGTTGTCACGCTATTATTATATAATGAATAAGAAAAGGTAAAAGGGCAGCAACGAAACTGTATTAACTGGAGATAAGCAAGCTAAATAAAGAGGAAGGATTTGACATAGCTGGAGCACCCCGATATTTCTTGATACACCTTGATAACACCACCAACACCGTTTTCCGGCATCGACTGTTCGGATGAGCGCAGTAATGTGGTAAGTTGTTATCTATTGAATCAAATGGCATTGATGAAAAAAAACCTTTTAGCTTTCTGGAATGCAAATTTTTTTTTTTGAAAAAAAGAGAACTAAAAGCTTTTGCACCTTTGCTATCGCCTAAATCTTCCAAAAATGCCCTCCCATCGTGTTTCGAAAGATCCTAGCAATTCCACTGCTTGAAAATTTGATGAATGAACAGCTTACTAGCCGAAGAAGCATGCGTTAAGCAGTTTGGAAACAACTCCGAAAATGGGGAGGGTGCCAGTTGAATTTTTGCAGAAAAAATATGATAGTGGTGTTGTGCATCCTGAGCATTTGTCCTCCTGAGGGAGTTAAGTTGACACATGTACGCAGAAAGCGAGAATGGGGAAGAGGAGATGCTGAGAGGCAAAATTTCGAAGTTCGGATGACATTCACGACCAGCAGGCCATATGCTCCTAATGATGGCATTACCAAGAAAAAAAAATTTCCAACAAAAATGTTTATGAAAGTGGTGTTAAACTGCCACTGCTTTTGCCCTTCGCTTCTTCCTTAAGCCTTGTGTCTGGAAAAAAAATGTGAGACGAAGCATGCTGCCGGTTGCATGAGAATATATAAATCCATCGTCAAGAAACATTGATTGTGCAGAATTCAGCAACAATAATTTAATAATTTTAATGATGTCACACGCATGGTGTCCAGCGTAGTGCAGTGGCAAGAGATAATCAATCTTCCGAAAGAGATCAGTGATTCGAATTCGCCAATGGGACAACCAATCCCTCTCAATTCATTCATCCGCTCCGATGGTAAAATGGTACTAGCATCTGCCAGAGGAGTAAAACCCGCCATCAGCTTGCTTCTAAGCAGCTCATGAAAGAGGAAGCCATTGTGACAGCCTTGCCGATGGTTGGCACTCAGACTATTTCCAAGTGCTTCCAAATCTTATTAGAACTAATTATGCGGGAGTTTGATTTTAATTAAATTTTTACTAAGTTCTAACAGTCTAAGTTTTAACACAACTCCAATTATTAAAATATCTTTGAAATATCAAAAAGAAAGCAGCTGCTTACGCGCACTCCAGTTAGTTAGCACCTTAATTTCTCCCCTCCCCTCCCCCCTCCCTCCGCTCCGCTCCGCTCCCACCCCTCCTCTCCGCTCACCCTTGCTATTTTACCTCCTAGCTTCGTAGAAATATACTTGCTTTATCAGTATATTTGAAATACACTTAACTTACTTGCAAAGTAAGTATAATATTAATAGATTGAAAAAAGGTATGCTAAATGAAGGCATGTAGCTCAAGATCGAAAAAACCAGGCGTAGCTGCACTCAAAATGTGGGAGTATTCCAGTAATATCACTAACATGGGATACCAATCCCGATTGTCCGGGCGATCTTGATATTCATGACAGCTGTAGCTTAAAGTGGCTGTTAAATTCGGGAGAAGGAAGATAAAGCAATTGTAATTTTACTGCTATCAAATAACTGCAATTTAAAATTTTCGATAACAGAGAAATGAATCACATTTCTATTTCTTTTCGCGGAAATTTGATCATTTCTGAAGTAAACGGAGCTGGTTGCCATGGAATAGTAGTACCACCAACTGTAATGCTTTTAGGCCAGGGAAAAATAACCAATTAAAGGGATGAAATGCGAGAACGAGGACAATTGTGTGTGCTGCAAAATGCAGAAGTTTTATGGATATGTTTACAGCAACGATAATTACTTCCCAGGAACACTTTTCTGACACGATCGACAAATTTTTTACCATTTTCAGCAATTTCCGCTGTGCTACCACTACTATTACTTTCGAGCGCTTCCGCTTCTCATAGAGTTTCTGAATGGTACCACCAAATGAACTGCTTTCAAAAAATCGCTTTTACAGTGCTGGAAACTGCAAATTTGCTAGGCAGTACACGTTACTTGTTTATCTGACCGCAAAATGGCAAAAAATGACATGATCATGGATTGAAATGGAGAAAATTGGCTTTTTGTATAGTAAGCACAGAAAAAATGACCTAGACGAACATTAATAACGAAAAAATGCATTATTCAGTCAGACTCATATCTAAAAATTTAATTCTGAAATATTCTTATTTTGGTATGCGAAAAATCCCCGTGTCTCTTGATCTAAGGATCTAATTTTAATAGGCTGAACCTCTGAACTAATTTGTTAGACTGACTCCTGACCACTTGGTCTAAGGATTTAATCTAAAGAGACTGAAACTTTTTTGTAATAATGATCATCGGAAAAATTCATGCTTATGACGATTCTGGGATGTACTCGCTGCATATTTACTGTGCGATTCGATTATTTAATCATATCCATGCGTTTAGCAATAATATTAAGCATCACTTCATCGCAGCCACCAGCGATTGAGAATAATCGAAAATCGCGATGATAACGACTGATCAGATTGTCCCACGTGTATCCATTACCACCCCAAAACTGTAACAGAAATAGTGCTTTATCGTTGACTTTTTGAAAACTTTTTCTTGCCCAGTCACGTACCAGTCCTGAAAATTTGCTGCCTATGCTAAGGTAACAGGGGGCAGGAAGGAGAAGAAGGAGTAGGATCTAAGATATTGGATCTACTTAAATATTAAATATTTCGATGGGCACATTGGAGAGCAGCCTACGCTTCTTCCATTAGTTCTATCACATAGATCTGAGCCGATTTTCAGAAACCACTTCCTTTTCCATTACAGTGCCGGCTCAAAACTCCCACACTCGAGTTAAGGAAAGAAAAGTTGGACTGAGTATCTAATGTCAGTATGTGCAATTCCTATTCTTTTTCTAACGAGCTCAATCTTCATTCTTTCTTTTGAAAATACTTTAGAAAAAAAAAAAAAAATGCATCCACAACGCAAAAATGCACACACAGTCGACAGTATGCGCTTTGTGCAACTGTTGCAGCGCAAAACTCAAAAAAAAAAGTTTATTTGTGTGGCTCATCAAAAGACTGCGCTCTTTCTTACGTAGAAATGTCGGGTGACAACTGGAGTTATACAGCACTGGACAGAGAAATCTTATAAGTCTGGCTGGGTGCAGTCCAATGTCGGATTTCCAAACTGATTATTTGAAAAATACTGGTAATTTGAATAAAAAACGCTCGCTTCATAATAAATTTTAACCGCTGGCCTCGCCATGCTAATAGCTAAAAGAAGGAAATTAATTGCCATTTTATTTACTTAAACATGAAAAATTTAGCCTCCATTTCCAAAATTTGGCTTTTTCTAAAAGAATCCTAGCTATAACAATTTGACTGTGTGCATTCGTATTATCAGAAAGGGGTCCAGGAAAAATTTACCTGCAAACATGAATCGGTAACGATCCTGACCAGACGTGAAGCTTTCAGTTTGCCCATACTTGCAAGCATTGTAACATCTTTGCCAGATAATCGTTCCAGAACTGCTCGATAGAGCAACGAACGGACTGCTTCGAGTTCTGTTTGCAATTCGGCTAACCGATAATGCACAACCTCAAGAAAAATGCTTGAAAATTTCGCCTCTTGTATATAAAACAACCCAGGCTGGAACGCACCAGGCGGGCCGGTGCGATTATG